TATTCAATCCTTTCTGACTGACACAACCACCATCTTGATCATCCCATTGCCAATCAACCCCACGAGCAACTCGTGCACCATTAAATATACCACGTATTGTTATTTTCTTAGATTTCTTTCTTTGTTCCAATATAACAGGACCATCATTACTGCATTGAGTATCGGTAGCAGCAGCTATCAAATCTAATGTGCCACTGACTGACATTGGCTGTTCAATTAATACAAATCTATGTCGCACATTATGTTTGTCGCCATGATAACACGCGGAGCACAAATCTACAGAATGATCGCCAACAAAGACCTTTTGTTCTGTTCCACTTGTTGACTTTGGTGGACAATTCACACATTTCCAACGATGTCCAATGATAGGAGTCTGTCTGCATCCATGACATACAGTACCTTCATGCTTGGAATGGCCTATAAATGAAAAGTATAAAATATTATAAACAATAATGGTACAAATATTATGAGTGATATAAATCAACATTAAAAAACTTATTTTATGTGTATTCAATTAACATGTAGATACTAAAACCTTGTTGAAATAAATACACAATCAATAATAGTTTACCTGTTGGACCACTGTCATAAATACGCAAGTCATATTGACCTGAACATCTATAATTGGCTGCTATTCCATTATCCCAGACTACAACAACTTCCTCGTGAGACTCAAAACTTCGTACAGTACCAACATGACCCTCTCCACCATCCTTCATAAAAACAACAAAATAAATAATAATCTATCATAAATAACTAAAAATAAAATAAATATTACATATTATACATTTGTATAAGTGTTCATAAAATGTGTAGGTATATAATACACTATATTTTTAAATACCAACTGATTAAACAATTTTTGAATTTGTGTTAAATACCTATCAACATTTTACACTGTGTTGACAGGTAAGTAAGCACATAGGTTAAATAATTGGTAAAAAATAAAAATAAAACTTACTTGTTTGTTCCATTTCCAACTAGGTCCACGGATGACACGAGCTCCAACGAATTTCAACAGCGTCAAGCAAACTTCCGACATCATATATTACGTATATTAAGCAGATGGAATTGACTGATGGCTGTTACGCCAAATTAGATTACAACGGTTATTAAAACAACTGCGTACATCATAATGGTTTAAGTTAGAAGGTAGACACCCGTCGGGAACGATGAGCGTCCAATCGATTAACGTATACTTTTGGAAAAATGTAAAATTTATAGTAATAAGAAACAAACGCACATACTAAAAGCCACTATCGATAATGAAATACCGATAAAAATCATATATTATATTATCTATTGTTATAATACGACTAGTGACTACAAACAAAATAAATGGTGATTTCATCTGGGACCTCGAATTATCACCACGGCTATCAGCTTGCTGTAGTAGTAACGTTTAACACATGATCGATATTATCCTCCACACATACAACGATACAACGATTTCACCATAATTTACATTTCCTACTGTACAAGTGTTCCCCTATTCAACAGCTAAGTTGTTGATAAATACAAAGGCGCCTGCAGTGCGTGTCGGTGGGGGCCATGACCCCCCGCTTGTTTAATTAATATTAAATATTAATTGTTTTATTACTTGCATGGCTCGAATATTTAAGCCATGATTACTTGTAAATTGTAAGTTGTAAAAAAGTCTTAGACCTACTTTTGACTTTGCCCCCCCCAGTTTATAGTTTTACAGGCGTCCTTGGATATATATTTTACTAAATTAGTACTGAAGGTAGTAAAGAAATATCAGTTATTAAACAAATTTAATTTTTATTACGGTGAATGACCAACTTATTTTATTTATAAAATTTTTTTCCCGATGAAAATCGTTAATTGCTTAGATAATATTGTTGGACACCGGTAACAATAAATATTATTGAAAACCAAAAATAAGATCAGATTAATATCTCATTAGTTTATAAAAAACATATTATTGTTGTAGACTGTGGTAGTGTACTTATTACTTTACTATCTTCTAAACGGTGAAATTTGCTAACCGTAGTTGACAAAAAGTATTAAATATATTTTAAAAGTCCATAAATAGATGGAGTATTAGTTAAAATAAATTTTAGTGTTCGAAATTTTGATTTCCATCAATCCGGTGACAAAATATTCCACTTTTAAGTTTGGGAAGTAGGAAAGTAGTGGTACATTATTAACTCACCACGGGCAGTACCGCCCCACACAAATGATACTCCAATTTTAACTAATATTCAGGAGCGAATAAGCACACCGAAACACCGGGATATTCCCGGTGGACCGCTTCTTATATTGCTGAAAATGGACCGATGAAAAATACTGCTATTGGCTACTGTATGTAAACATTAAACGCGAATATTCAAAGTTGATTTAATAAATACAATAAAAATGTATGTATTTTTAAATTTTAATTTAAATCATAATAAATTATCATTGTATGACTACTAAATTACCATCACTAGTGTTTATCTTGGAATTTGAATATTATTTTTGAATTTGGCTCACATTTGCTGTCATCAACTATATATCTAAATAAAAGTACCTACACCGTACACAGTAATCGAACACAGACGTTACAGTGAAACTTTTTTTTACTAATCACTACATTCTGTTGTTGGCTTTCCATTGTCATTTAGCATAATATACATAGTATTACGTTCTAATCTTTTTGGATTTAAATTCTGGAGTTTAGGCAAGTACATTTTTTTTATATTAAAATTTACATTTATTTAAATAACTACAGTATTTATTAATTTATTATTGTTTATAAATTTGTTTCTTAAATGTTCTACAAAATAAATTCCTGAAAAAGTTAATTATTTTCGACATAATGAGTGTACCCACTTAAATAGATTATCCGAAATTATCATTTGATTAGCTTAAGATCATTTGCTGCCCCCTACCTCGATGGAATAAGCGTTTGTGAGCACGGATCAATGACTTAGCGCAGTGGTGGCTAATTACGACCCGTGATCATTTATTAACCAGTTCGCCAAAGTATTAAAGTTAAATCAAAATTGAAAAAAAATTGACTCAGTTTTACTAAAAATTGTAACATATTTAAAATTTATTATGAATTAATGTTTCCTATTCTTTCATTTCTTTTCGACAATTTTGTTGTTAATCAAAAACAATTTCAATATTATTCAAGCTATAAAAATCTTGTTAAGCTTTATTCAAATCTATCTAAAGATTAACCAAACGTTGGGCAGTTTACAGCCAAGATATCTTGTATGTTCGGTTCAACTTATATTTGTGAGCAAGTATTTTTAACTATGAGAATCAATAAAAGCAAAACTTGATCTCGCATAATAAATGAACAACTCCATGCCGTTCTTCGGGTAAATTCAAGCAAATTAGAACCAAATATTGATGTTCTTTGTGAACAAAAACAAGCTCAGCAATTACATTTAAAAAAAAAAAAAAAAAGATATGTTTAAACTTTATATTTTTTTCTCATCTATATTATTTATAACAATCAATATATAATAATAATATAATAAATAATTCAATTTATCAGTGTACCACTATTACTTATATTAATATGTGTCTACAATAAAATAAAATATTCAATTAAAAAAAAAAAGTTTAAATTCTTGGTCAATCAAAAAAATTTTTTTTTATGGCCCTCGGTAAAAAAAGTTTGGTTACCACTGAAGTAGCGTTCAGATTCAGTGACGTCATGGTTGTAGTCTAAGCGCAATCAAATGTCAAACCGAACGGCGCGGTTTGGATCTTATTTGTACAGATATTTGATATCCTGTACGGTGCACGATCCAAAAATTAATACCGTCCACAAAATACGCTAATTAGCCGTGAGCAGACGGATAGTTTTTTTTTTATTAGGGCCCTTTCTTACCAACTTATAATCGGCGTTGATCTGTCGTCTAAAATTCCAAAATTGATAATGTGTAATGTTAATATCACGGTCTTAGATTATAATATCATGATTAATATACGGTAGTATCAATAATATAAGGTTAATATCATGATTTAAAATATACTTAAATCGTGTTTAAAATATACCGTATAATATTGCATTATATTAAATTCGTGGTTAGTATGCGACCGAGCCGCGTTACCGAAATCTTATCATACTGAGTTTTTATAATTTTTGGACAACTATTTATTTTCTATATCTTAGAGTTTAGGTCAGATTGGTCTGAGTATTAGAGCACTGTTTAATATTGTTTTTGTTATTATAATTTACTATTAGTTCAATGTTTAATAATCAATGTTGCACGTGAGTGGCAAGATATGAGAAAGATACTAAAGTCAGTAATTAATGTACAGGAAAGCAATTTTGGTTGAGTATTTAAGATTTTTTGGGAGGGGGATTCCCCCCAATAAATGTTTCCTGCTTATTAGTATAAACATTTTTTGGGGGGGAGAAACATAGTGTATATGGTTTTTGAATAGCAAAAACGAACTTTTTGATAAGATCGTACGGTTTTCAGAGTCTCAAAACCTGGCTACACTGGCACCCATAGTCTGCATAAAATATAGATAATAAAAGGTTGAAAATTAGCCAATAGGATATTGGTTATGTGAATGATAAATTGAATAATGTATCATTAGTAAACTACACGTTAGTTAATTATTCGTTTACCCGTTCGAGGCGAATATACGAACATTTCGGTTCGAAATAAATAATTTATTGTTACACGTCAAATAAGTGACACGCGTATTATTATTTTCTTATTTTGATTCGCAGTGAATACGACTTAGTACTTCGTATCAGTGAAGCATTAATCCCCCCCCCCTCTTCTATGAAATTTAAAATAAAAGTATTCAAAACTATTTTATTTATATGGTAATATTAATTAATTAATTTAAATTTATCATTTTGTAACATAAACTAGTTTTTTAAAATCTTTTCTCATAAAATACACATACAAGTATTAGTGGGAACTTCGATATTATATTTTCAAATCAACTCAATAGCCTTCAAGCTGTTTTGAAAAATATAATATTATCGTATCGGTCGGAATCTGGTCACTCAATTCGTCATGGTCCCGTCATCATCACCACTGACACCACTCCAAAACCATAAGTACTTGTAACACCGAACACCTCGTTAAAGATTAACCGTTTTGAAAATTTTGAATCTAGGGATGAACAAAAGCCATTTTGGAAAAAGCGAAGGAACCTGGTCGTGCTTATGGTATCTTTAGGATATTTCAACTTCTACACACTCCGAGTGAATATGGCTGTAGCAATCGTAGCCATGACATCGTCAGCAGACAACACCGAGGTGAGTTTACATTATAATTTACCTCCTTGTTAAAACTCCTCGGAAGAAAGACGGTAAAGGCGATATTCCAGTGACGTCATGTGTAGTATTGTGTTCATCAAGTACATATTATGCTCATAATTATAATAAATCAACCAGTGGCGTGCCGTGATATTTTATATTGGGTAAGTGCTTATATAAAACTTAAAACTAAATCTTAAAAAACATATTTTATTGATAAAAAATACAATTCAAAATTCATTTAAAATATTTTTATTTAATTAACAGTTGTATTTATAAAAAAGTATAGAAAAAATATTATCTTTTTATTTTATTATTTCCGAAATTTTTAAGATAACCATTCTGTAGAGTTTATTTTTCTGAAAATTTTAATGTATCACACATATATATCTGATTATTATTTTCTAAGTAACAGCTGTTTTAAATTCTACTTATCGAAATCCGATGTTATCACGTAACTCGGTTATGTTATTCCCTAAATAACATCGGTTTTCGATTAGTAGAATTTAAAATGGCTGTATATACACATGTGATACATTACAAAATTTCAGAAAAATAAACTCTACAAAATGGCTAAATTTTTTTAATAATAGAAAAATTTAATTAAAATATAAATATTTGTAAACCTCTTCCCTATGAATAATATAAAAAAAATACAATTTGGTTATCTTTATTATCTCCTAAGATAATCAAGGGGTATATCTTCGTGGGACAGCCTGTATATGATAATTAAACAATTTTTACAAAATAATATTAATACTTTAATAGCAAATGTACCCATGTAATATAATAAGTATATTGATCCAATATGTAAAGGTAAAATATTGGAATAACGTTTTTAAAAAGCCGTCCTAGGATAATGGCGACGGATGCAGTTACTGTTATAGGTAATTTAATATATACCTGTAAGCAACGATAAAACATTGCTTACGAAAAAACGATTCCGAGCATAGTTCAGTTGATAGTGATGCTTTGTTCATAATATACAGTGTGTCCAACCGTGTTCAATGGATTTTTCTAGCGCTGTTAATATTAAATTGTTTTCGAATTTTTTTTCAATTGGTTCGTCTTTAAATCGATGTCCCCGATTTAAAGAAAAATTTAATTATTATTTTCTTCCCCTAAAAACAAAAAAAATAACTTTTTATCTATTTACTTTCGAAAATTTTCAAAGTAGCCATTTAATATTATATTTATAATATAATATATTATATATATATATATATATATATATATATATTATTATATTAAAAAATTATTCTAAAAATGTTAATGCATCACTCATTCATATCCTATGAATAATTTCTTAGTTATAGCCGTTTTAATTGTGGGTGAAAACAATTAATATTCACATGTTATGCGATAAGGAATTACAATCAGCACGGTAATTCTTTACCTTCTGTTCAATATTAATTAATAAAATAATAAAGTAAAAACAAAATTCGTAAAATAGTTAATACTCGTAAATAAATAAAGTAAATAATTTAAAAACAACGGACATATTTCGCACGTGGGTTTGTGGTGACTTACCAATTCCGGGAATGAACTCACTAATTCTCGCAAATTAATACGACTATTTTGAAACGGGTATCAATGAAACCGGACCAAGTGGGTGGGCCAACTTCATGGACATACACAGTGTGTTGTGTACTACATACGTCATGTCATATTATTGTAAAATAATTAAATAAGTATCATATTTTTTTTTTTTTTTAAATATTTATTTAATATAGTATTGATTTTCCCATTTTCCTGGTTTACCTATGTTTTTCTTAGTTTTCACATTTGCTGAGAAAACTTGGAAAAATTTAAAAATGATCTCCCTAAAATACCTTCCAAGTCAGATTTCCTTTCAAACAAAATGCTACCATTGTAAATCGGAGCAAAATTGCTGGTAGAAAAGCTGTTCACAGATAAAAAAAAATAAAAATAAAAATAAACATCTTTGTAAAACCATAAGCTTTTTTGTTCCACTCAGAATCTAAAATATTAGAGAGCGCTTGATACATAAAAAACATTGATCACGACCAGTCGTTTCTATAATAATGATAACGAACAATCTAAATCAAAAATATGAGTGCTGCTGTAAATAAATTGCTCATACGACAAAAACTGAATATAATTTCTTTCGAAGTAACCTGGTAAATTGTTTTAAATTAAATACTCATATATGAATCAACAAATAGTAGTATTTTTAATCTAAATTTGATTTTTATTTAACATAATAATTATTAATTATTTTATTTCTTCGTTGTTGGCCAGGCATGCGCCGCTTACTTAGCTTGCCTTGATGGTATGCCACTGAAATCAACTGAACATTGTAACATATGTAACTAAAGCAAAAGAGAAAGACTTATTTGGTCCAATGCTGGACATTTTTCGGTGGGTCTTAGTTCTGAATGTTACCAAAATTACTACGGTCAATCAAAATACGACGAAAGGCATGATGATGTCGTTAAAAACAAGGTTCCTAGATTATACACAAACCTTGGCTGTATTATCGCCTTAACAGTGTTTTATCTCCGCATTCTTCTCTCAGCGTCTTACCGGGCCATAATTCATCTATCCGTTTTCTTCTTTCTCTAATTTTCCAATCGGCTATCAACATTATTTAATCATTCCTACATAACGTTTCGTGAATCTCCAACGACGCCATATTGAATTCATTGCCTTTATGTAATTGTTATCGTACGATTGTCGTATTCATTGTAGCCATTGTTTGATATAGACAGCCGAGTTCAACTGGGATTCAAAACTCCGTGGAACTGTTTTGAGCGCGTTCTCGTACGGATACATAACCACGCAAATGGTTGGCGGTTTATTGAGTACCAAATTTGGCGGTGTCAAGCCGATGGGCTACGGCGTATTATTAAACGCGTGTTTCACGGTGCTAACCCCATTGGCTGCCAGATATTCAGTTTATCTGGCAATCGTATTCACTATCGCCGGAGGAATGTTTCAAGTTCGTGACCGTATATAGTTAAATACACTACCCAATATAACATTTGTTTTAACACGATTTTCCCTATTTTCAATAATTATTATAATCGGCTATATCCCCGATTGTTCGTTAAATTGGCTCCAAAAAAACAAAAACAAATTATAATTCAATAGTACTTGTAAATTATAATTGTGTAAAATAATAAAATCCTTGCTCCACAATGCCCAGTGTTTGAAATCTAAAGAAAACTGGTCAAAATTCTAGAATCTATTATGGGGCTAATTCAGTATTGTTTATTCTACAAAGTCACTAAAACTGTAATTTTCAAAAATAAAGTAATATCACCTATCCAAATTGAATGGTTCACTGCAACAACTAGATAACTTTATATGTATAGTATAATTTAAAAAAAAAAATTTCTATATTAGGGTACAAAAATAAAAAATAAAATTGTATTGTTCTTTTAACAATTTCAAAGGTGGTTGTAGTTTAATGGTTGCAGTGAACTCTTCAATAATTGAAACACAACCATTGTACTGACATGTTATAATTTTAAATATGTATCCTAAATTAGGATGTTTTGGAACCCTTCACCCTCTCACAAAGTAAAAGTAAAATTTAGTTTTTAGTAAGATTAAATAAAAAATATTATGTATTTTGTATTATCCAGTGACGCAGTCGCGTCGCAGAGCTAAGTAAAAAAAAAAAAAAGCTCGAGTATCGACCGGAGTATATTACATAAGACGGTCAACTCCTATTTAACCCGTGTAATTTTACGGTAAATGGTCCGACCTCTCTGTAGTCTAAACTAATGAAATGATTGTTTTGAAATTTACACGAGTTGATCAATATGTTATGTAGATGATACTTTTGTAAATTTCAAATTGATTGGATGATTACAGTCTGAGTAATAAGCAAAAGTATTAACATAGTTTTTACTCAAAACGCTATTTTTTTCAACAAAATTAAACTATACATATGTTGTACGCATTGTTACCACCTGTTTACAACTGTAAAACAATGTTTTTTTAATTTAATTTATCGTTGTATTACTAAGTATCTTTTTCCAGCAACTTGCATAAGCTATATTTATACATCATATTATATTAATTTACTCAATCTATAAACAATAAAGATATTTTGTCCCCATAATTTTTCACTCGATAAAAAGAAACATAGGTTACTATATCCAGAATTTTAATAAAAAATTTAGTGATATCCCAACAAAAACTCTCCGCCAACTACGTGTAAACCTTCCCTAAGAAAAAAAAAAACTCAATTAAGAAAAGTTGTAATATCAAAAAGGAGATAAGTAATTTTTTAAATTCATTAGTATAGAAATTTCATAGCTCCTTTTTGATATTACAACTTTTCTGAATTAAGTTTTTTTTTCTTAACGAAGGTTTTACACATAGTTAATTGAGGGTTTTTGTTCGGATAACTTTATTACATGATCATATAATAATTAGTTTAAAATAATTTACTTATTACATAGCCGCTTGGGATTAATAAAAAAATAAAATTAAAATAAAAATTAAAATAATTTATTAAATTTGATACTTATAACTACTATAATTAATACTAATAATATTAAAACTTCACTATTCTAGATTCTAATTCAAAAACTATTCGATTGATTTTTCATAATTTACTTTTTGGGCTAAATCATTTTCAATTGATAAAATTTCCAACGACGAGAGCCTATAATCTGTCATTGAGGAACGCAAATAAGTTTTTATTAATTTAAGTATAAAGAAACTTCGTTTACCGGATGCTACTGTAACTGGGATCGTCAACAATATTCTTAAAGATATTCATGTGTAAAGGATTATATCAACTAATTTCATATCGTGTATAAACTGGAGCGCTGCTTTGGGTGATCATTTGTCAATTGGTAAAAGTGAATTTAGATGTTCAGTTTACTGTAAAGCTCTGAAGAGTTTTAGTATTATTTCCTACCCTGGGCAGTCGCCCACGTCGCCCAGAGCTTTCACTGGCCTTGGTCCTAATCTAGCTTAACCTAATTATTATAGGGGATCTCGTATCCGAGTACAAACGCCGTGTGGTCGCGATGGATACCACCTGCTGAGCGTGCGAAAATGTCGTCGTTTGGTATTTCCGGTAGTATCGTGGGTATTATCGTCGGATATCCGGTCTGCGGTTGGTTGGCCAAAAAATACGACTGGACATACGTGTTTTACGTACCGGGTGAGACAAAATTTGACTTTTTAGTCTTATTTTTTAGTGTCCAGTAATGTAAACGATAATTATTATCGTCTAATGGCATTTCGTCATTACATTATTATTATAGGTTTCGTGGCCGTACTGTGGAGTATTATCTGGTTGGTGTATATAGCGGACTCTCCGACGGAAGACGTTTATATTTCTGAAGAAGAACGCGAGTACATTGTCAGTTCAATAGGTTCGACCGGTGCATTAAAAAAAAGTACGCCCATATTTTGCAACGCGTACTAATTCGATAGTTACTCGTGCTTTACTTTTTATTTCTTTATATATATATATATATTAGGTTTATTTAGCTACCCATGGAAATGTATTTTCACATCGATGCCGATTTGGGCGATAAATTGCGCTCACTTTTGCAGTAATTGGGGAGCCCTCACACTGTTGATACAGTTACCAAGCTACATGAACGGTAACTTTATATGTATATATTATAATATAATTTTTAATGTATCCAGTTTAAATAAATTAGTACTTTAATACTCGATAGAATAAACAAGAAAAGGAATTATTTTAAAATAGGTAGGTACTGATTATATTGTAGATCTTAATCAAGTTTCGTCGTGAAAAAATTATATTATCATTAGGTGCTCTGTCGTATTACTCGATTAGATCAAATTATCGATATTTTATACATAAAATACCACGACTTTAATAGTTTTTAATTAAACGCACTTTTTTTGATCTCTGAACTTAGCAAAGGATGTATGGTTTTACTATTTAGTTTTCATATAATGTGTGCAGTGTGATGCGATTGTTTTTAATTTATTGATTGTGATACAATTTTTCTATCGGAAATATTGCTCTGATTATCTAATGTGAGAGACAATTTTGGTCGAAAATTTTGTCTGGTTGGTTTATTGAATAATCCATTTACTGATTGTCCTTTTAGTTTTTTTAATAGTTGAGAACAACGGGAAAATGTATTCAGTTAATGACGATTTTCATTACACTCGATTTTGTTTTCTTTATTTTTCCAGTTAAAAATAATCGTAAAGATTTGAGATTTCCGTTACGTAGCCAAAACCACGATGATACATTTTTAACTAACTGCTACTTTGGTTCACAGATGTATTCAAATTTGATATCGGCTATGGGAGTTTTTTATCAGCGCTGCCATATGTCGCTTTGACTATTGTCCTCCAAATTACTGGATTGCTTGATTATTGGATTAAACAAAAAAATCTACTAACTACTACTCAAGTATGATAATTATTTAAAATTACGTACGAAGCTGTACAGTATTCTACTTGTACGAATGGTATTAAACTGTTTTTTTTTTTTTTTGTAGTCAAGGAAACTCTTCAGTAGCCTCTCTTCCCTGAATAGAGCTGTTTTTATGTACTTGACGGCGTATTCCACAACGGCAGTCGAATCTTTATTATATTTAACATTAGCGATGGGCCTCGGGGGATTTTATTCCGCCGGATTTATGTAACTATTTCTCACCGTTGGTAAGAGAATTACGTTGATTCTAATTTTTCTTTCAGCGTCAATCATTTAGACGTAGCACCGCAGTACTCCAGTCTTTTATTAGGAATTTCAAACACGTTTGGAACCGTACCAGGTTTTATTACGCCCATGCTGGCCGGTATAGTTGTGCAGCACAATGTAACTATTTCGATTGGTACTGTTATTAAAATTATATTAAAGATATTATTTATAATATGATTTTAGAGTGCGGAAGAATGGAAATGGGTGTTTATAATCGCTAGTATTGTCCAGTTGTTTGGAGGAATTTTTTACGTCATATTTGCAACAGGAGAACGACTATATTGGGCTGAAATCAAATCCGAAAAAAATGAGGTCCAGAACCCACTGTGCGAAAATGTGTAATATTTTATGTTTTATAAAAATATGAATTGATCAATCTATTATAAGAAACTTATTTTCTCGGAAAGTGTTAACTTTTTTTGAAATTTTCTTTCAACAACATTTAAGAAACAAGCTTTTCTAAAATTTAACATTCAAATTATTTTTTATCACCCTAATTTTTTTTTTTTTTTGGGGGGGGGGTTGGTAAAACGACTAGCTACTCTTGATTTTCAAATAGCAATCTATATTAAAAAAATTCCTTAATTGATGGAGTAGTAGTTAAAATAATTTTGGTGTTGAAATTTGTAATTTCCATCAATCCATTGACGAGATATTCCACTTTTAAGTTTTGGTCGGGGGATAATAATGGAGCATCATTTGTGTGGCGGCACAGCGCGCGGCGTTTTAAGAATATGCCTCTACTCTCCTCCGATCCAAACTTAAAAGTGGAATATCTCGTAAACGGATTGACGGAAATTAAAAATTTTAACATCAAAATTTATTTTAACTACTAATTCATCTATTTATGGAATTTTTAATATAGGTTATCATTTAAAATCAAAAGTAGATAGTACTTTGACCCCCAAAAATCAAGGTGACAAAAAAATAACATGATTGTAAAATTGCAGAGCTGCTTGTTTCTAAAATTTTCTATAAAACATAAAAGGTAATACTTTCCGAGATAATGATAGACTGATCACAATGTATAAAGTTTAATTAAACCATAAAATATTATTGTAAAAATTATGCAATCCAATACAGCAAACAAATGTATTTAAAATATTTATTAAATATTCCAATTATAATAAAAATATTTAATAATTGCTTGTTATTCATTTTGTGTAAAATTTAAAAAAATATTAGTTAAACCAGAAATATTTATTTTGTAAGTAACAAACACTAAACATTTAAACATTAAACATATGCAAATTAAAATTGTATAAATATTTCATAATTATTTATTATAAATCAATAAATATTTCATAACAAATGCAAAATATTTTTTCAAAAGTTATAGGATATTTAAAAACCAAATTCAATCAAATTTCTTTAAACGATTTAAAATAAAATGTATTAAACGTGTAGAAATTAATATTGAAAATATTTATTTTATTCTATTTAGATGATGTTACAGAGATATAAATTCAGTAGTTAGAAAAAACTGTACAATATAATTATAATTTCAAGTATAGTTAATTTTCTTCAAAATGGTAATAACACTTTTAGAGCAGACTTTTTTATAGTAAACAGACAACTAGACTTCTTATTGGGTTATAATGTTATATTATAATATTATACTTGTACACTACAACTATAATTACATGCTTTATAGAAGTATATATTTACTAGTTGTTTCATATAATAATAAGATACTTCAGGCAGCAGGTTTCTTTGCAGGTGTGGTTTTTATACATAGCAGGCATACACATGGTTTTCTTGTTGGGGGAGAAAATCTAGTGTTGCCTGAACACTACCCAACAAAAAACATAGGCCACCTAAGATTACTTTTATAAGACAACTGAGTATACAAGCAGGAATAAACTATAGAAATATGTATAAAATGAAATACACAATATAAATAATATTAAATTTATTGTTAAAAAAAAATTTACACAAGTTAACATAATAAAATATAATATATATATATATATCCAATAGTTATCTGCTCAGTGTATTTACGTTGGGCTCTTTTAAGCTGAAGAGAACCACTTGCAGTATATGGGTCCCAAATTAAAATCGTATTCCAAAATGGGTCTCACCAATGCACAATACCCTGTTACCTGCTTTTACCCTGTTCTTTAGGAAAATCCTTTAGTCATTTTCATTACGAACTCCAGTGCTTTCAACGCCTTGTAACATATTATGTTGATATGAGAGCAAGGGTCCAGAATACTGCTAAATTTAAAACCAAGATCAATGATATAATTATCTTCACGTAGTAGAAGTAGTAGTAATAGTAGTAGTAGTATTAGTATGGAGCCCATCAGATTATAGGAGTGAAAAATTTGAATTCCAGCTGAACGTCATTATTTTACATTTGGAAATGTTAAGAGATAATCCTAACAAATTGAAGCACTCAACAAAATGGCTCAGACCACTTTGTAGTTCACCACAGCCCTAATGATCATTAATACGCATATAGATTTTCATGTCACTTACAAGTGATAGTGATGCAAAATACGAATAACGTTATTGACAGAACGTAAGACTAGAAGTGGAAACAAGTGACTCCCCCCCTGAAGCACTCCAGAATATATTAGATTTAGAACTTTAACCTATTGATGTCTATTTTCTAGGTAATCCGATTTTTCGAAAATTTAAATGAGGACACAATGGTTCACAGTATCAAACGATTTTTTATAGTCTATAGAGACTACCTTTACCTGGGACCCAGCTTGAAGTGATTCGTTTATAAAGTTACTAAAAATTAAAGTACAGGTGGAGGTTTAGCGGCCGGGACAAAAATCATGTTGTTTCTACTTGACAATTCTATTAGCTGGTAGCTGAATACGACTTAACACTAAGAACTCAAACATTTTTGGCATATGTGATTGAACAGAAATTGGTATATAATTTGAAATATCTAAGTGGCTGCCTGACTTAGGGATCTGGGTAATGGAACTAAATTTTAGCATGGATGGGAAAACTCTCTCATTTAACGAACGTCTAAAGAATATCCAAAGAGGGTAGTATGCAATTATTTGTCCAAGTTAAAATAGAAACTCACTTAGGCCATCAGGGCTAATAGACTAAACATCAGACAATGCCGATAAACGTTTGAAGACATCTTCGACACTAAAGGATACATTACTTAGTAAACCGAAAGTAGAAATAACTAAATCACTGCTCTCAACCACAGCCTTCTCATTGGTATAGATATACGAAAAGTGTGCAATAAAAAGATTTGCAGTCTCCTGTACACGGGACGTTTCTTTTCCAATAAATGATAGTTTATTTGGAACACCGTAATTATAACGGTTTTTATTAACAAATTTTCAAAAAATGGACGGATTATGCTTTAATAGTTTTTCAACATTATTGACAAAGTCACGATATACGTTTTTAGATTCATATTTGAACCTGGCGCAAAGTAGGGATAACTCTTTATAAAAGTGTGACTTAAGATTTAACTTAAACTTTTTATGCTTGCTTCTTAATTGATAAAGTTTTCTTTAAATCCCTATTACACCAATGTCGAAAAGAGGAAGTTTTAAAGTGGCAATATGGTACAAATTCAATGACTGATTTATGTAAAACGTCATAGAAGACGTGTACGGCAGTCTAGATCAAGTGGTAGAAATGTAGAAGTCCAATCAAGCTAGTATTTCCTTTTTAAAAGACATAAGTACATTCATTAGGTCTTCATTGAATGAGATAGTAGGCAACTTACTCCCAGCACCAAGGCGAAAAGAGGAAGCTTTATTTTTAAGGTCAGACGAGGACTCGTATAAAGTACGAAAATATTTTGTTAGAATGATATTTTATCAAAGAAATAAAACTGTTGAAAAGTAAATAATCCGAAAAATATTTACATCGAACCGTATTTTAGAAGAAAAATATTTGGGTCGAAAATATTCTATGGGAAAATATATTATCAGAATAATATTCGATAACGAAAATATTTGGATAGAAAAATATAAATAATAAAAAATATTTTGTTAGAACCGTATTTCGGTAAAAAATACCTATAAACGTAATAACACTGTTATCTCATATCATTTGATAACCGCTGAACATTGGTTTTCTACTTCTACGGAGTACGATTATATAATATATACTTAGGTGTGTCAGGTCCATAGCCCTCATTACTCAATGCTCAATGTTAATTAATTATATAAATTAATCAATTGTATCAATCTATCTTCTATGCTGTGCAAAACACACAAAGCTTTTTATCTGTTGTGCTAGTGGCACGCATATATTATGTAATAAGTCATGTATTATTTAATAACTAATAAGTTGTAGAGGGTACACTAGTACCCTAAAGTAAAATACAGTAAGTTATACAATAAATAAGTATTTCAGTAACCATTTGTTTTTCCGATATCTACCTACAACTTTACTGTGGCCATAAATATTAAATATGTATCTATAACCAGGCTGGGGCTTGCCTTTTCAACAGCACGATTTATTTGTATTTAATATAACTCATTTTCTAACTAAGTACGGCTCTCATAAATTATTTTTCGACAAATTTATTTTTTGTTCGAAAATAACTTTTTAAAAAACTTTTCCAGTAAAATATTTGTTTAGCATTTTATTTGCGTATAAATTGTTTTACGACTAAAATTTTCCTAGTCAAATGTTTTTCTGCTCGAATTTTTCGTAAATATATTTTCCAACGAAATATTTTCGAACAAATATAGGTCACCAATCAGACCTAATGGGATTATTTTGCTTAGCAGCCATGGTATATTGATAAAGAGGATAAAAAGTGTGTGAGTAGATAATTACTGTGACATGCTGTATATAAGTATAGAGGGTTTTTCTGTATGCAGAAACATTTTCTCAACGTGCTGCACGGGACATATTTTGCGTTATCGGTAAATTGGTAGACGGCGAGAAATAGCGCAATAAGTGCTGATATGATTAAGATCATATATCTTAAAATAATTTTAGAACACGGCACAACTAACACTCATAAATAACACTCGCACGTGAAGCCCAGAGAAGGTAAAAAGTAATAACGACTTCGGAATAGGTCGCGGTTTACGATAAGGGAACGACGGCGACGCGGCACGAACACACGTTATAAGTTATAACCGGACGACGGTAAGATCGAGACTGTTTTAATTAATATAATATATAATATTATACTCACTATTGTCTATTATTTAGCTTCGTGAAGCATTTTTCTTATTGAATGGTGCTTGTGCCAAATTATATTTATTCTTTCTTCTATTTCATCTACTGATGTATTTTTGCATGTTTTGTTTTTTAGTAGAACCTAAAAAGAAAATAACATTTTTGTATTTATTATCGTAACATATCATATATATATAGGCTGTCCCACGAAAATA